CCCCAAAACCCCAAAACCCCAAAACCCCTTTAATACTTGAGGTAATTGCACCGTTAGTTTTAAATTATAAACCAACGTTAAAATGTCCGCAACGATAAATCTCAAACTTGCCCGCTATAAGTTCTCTAAGTATTTGTTGTACACCTGCTTATGTCAGAAGTCAATCAAATCATTGTCATTCAAGCTACCGAGCCTTAAGAGCAGAAGGAACCCTAGTTTTCCATCCAAGAGTCTCTTGGTATTCCTTGATGCTTACATGTAGAATCAGATTTTGTTCCGAAGCCTAGTAAATGTCTTTAGGAGATTTGATACGAGGAAGAAGAAGGTTCTGAGTATGAGTAATTTTAAGAAGTTACTGGAGCATTTTGATATTGAATGTAAGAAAAAGGATGAAATTGAGTTTAAAGATGAGATAGAGCTGTTTAGAGATTTTTATTGATTATAGAATGCCAAGGGGTTGCCTGGCTGGGGTATTAGATTTTTAGGAGAGAAGTTTGAGATCCCTTATAGGAGATAAACATGAAATCAAAGGAGTTTTTAATATGTTTGGGAGTGGAGAGAAGGAGTTTGGAGTAATGGAAACTGTAAATCATCAGATAAAGCTCGGTGAATTTCTAAGTTTATTCAATATACAAATGGGTAAATTTTGTCTACTCAACTTTAGCAAATAGCAGAATTAATTCTTCAAAATTTGAGATAACCGAGAGAGAAGAAACCACTATTTTCTGTTACATAAAAATGATGTTAAAGAACCAAATAAATCTTCAGAAAAAGATTAATAAATTTCAATGAGCTCTGAAGCTCTCCTTTGATTTTGTCACTTTACTAAAGCTCTTCGGATTCTCTCACAAGAATCAATATATTTCCAGAAGAGAGCTCATTGAAATGATTGAAAATGATACAGGAGAAGTACTGTAAGTTGCAATCCACAAAACTAAATATTTCATAGAGACCCTGAGGATCTAGACCATGTTTGTAGAGATATGGAATTATGCCAAGAATTACCTATAATAGACTTGGTCCTATCAATTTATGACTCTGAGAATCGTGAAGAGCTACAGAAATTATCTTTGGTCACAGGCCCATCTGAAACAATGGTTTGTCATGAAGAACTCTTTAAATACCTCTAAATATCTCGGGGTTTTGGGGTTTTGGGGTTTTGGGGTTTTGGGGTTTTGGGGTTTTGGGGTTTTGGGG